GTCATACAGCCTGTTGCTAGCAGTTCGTCGAGATACAGTACGTTTTATCTGTCCGCTTCACAATTCTACTGTCGATACGAACCTACAGTACCTGAGCAGTACTTCGTGACAAGATAACGCAAAATTTGATATTCTCTGACATTAGTCGTTAGCGCTCTACCGTTGCTACGTCTAGGTACTGTGGAATCGTTTCATCGTAGTTTCTAAGGGGCGATTTAATAGTAGAGCTGTTCAAACATAATTTCCGAGGAATCTGCGGCATAGTCAATTTATTATATTTCTTCTGAAAAATCGACTCAAGTACTAGCAGTCCTAAGAACTTTCTTGCTATTAGTTTTAGTTCTAAACAGCTAAGAAATAGTACAGATTTTATACTGCCTCTCGTATGTATATGGACGACTGTACATAGCATAAAACAGCAAAAATTTTGCATTTGCAGCCGAGCAACAGCCGAAAGTTCAAGATGTGAGTAAATTTATTGCTTTCACATTTTGAGCGAAATGATATTTCCAGGCATACATCGAGATACCCGTTATAGTTTCTGTTTTTTTCTGTCTTCTACAGTTTTGTTATCTGTACTAACTTTTTTATAGAGCACAGCTCAAGTGGAGTATTTTGTTTAGTGAAAAATTTCCTTACAAATTGCAAACCATTCTGCTTTTCTTATCGTTTATGACAAGTGCGCGTACGTTTACTGCTACGGTTAAGTTAATTATTTACTTGTTTAATCTCTTTATTTATAATAATTTTAGTTCATCTTTTATCGACAATGTACTTTATTAATCATCATTATTTTAATTTAACTTAAATGACAAAGCGGTATAACGTGACGTAAAAAAGTAAAAATTAAACAGCTTCATTTTAATTAAATAAAATGAAATTAGCAATAAAAATTAAATATTAAGACCTAAATAAAATATTTTATTAAGTGGAAGATATACTTTTTATAATTATACTTTCTGCAATGGTTTTAGAAATGTATTATAAACATCGCAAAAATTATTTATTTCATATCATATCAATTTAAATTCTATGTAATTACATGTCATAATCCTTGGTGATAAATTGAATTTATAAATTTAATATAAAAATTGCTGTTTTCCTGAATTATTCTGTTCCTTTTAAGCATGCGCTACTTAATTATGAAAGAAAATCTTATTACAGCATGTTCTGATCTTTACGTATTTACTTGAAAAAACATCATAATCTGTTTTCTTCATTTTCTAAAGTTCCATATTGTGTATAAAATAATCAAAATTTTGTTTATATTATTTTATGTTGTTATTGTTCAATTTTTTAAATATTCATTCTTAAGATTAATAATGTATCCTAGTGAAAAGAAAAAGAAACCATATTACTCTATATTTTTTTAAAGTCTACCTTCTTAATTAAACTGAAAGACTGAACTAACATGGAAGATTTTATTCATTTTTAAAATATAACTAAGGCTTTCAAGAGAGTTTGTGGGCTCATTTTAATATTAATACATTGATTTTAATGAAGACATCTAAATTCTACATATTTTTAGATTTGGAATGTTCTTAGGTAATCACGAATATGACAATATTATTAAAATACTTTTATAATCAAGGTTATCTAAGAATATTTTAAATTAATCACTGAGATTAAAATACTTTTACATTCAAATATATATACATATAAAATAATTTGGAGTGCTCTTCTGGATCACTAGCGATTTGCTCAGATTGAGACTAATTATTTGCAATGTACACAACGACATATACAATGTAATAAAATTGTAGCAATCTTTTATAAAGATAAAACTAAAAGAAGTATTTTACAATCAGAAAAGGTAAAGTAATATTAAATAAAAATTACATGTACTGAATATTAGCCGTATAATACACTAATCAAAATAATGGATAATCTACTGCATAAATATCATTTACTGCTATTTGATTTAACTCTTCTAGTTTCTACTTAATATTAATCCTGTAGATTTTTCTTTATCTTACGAAAACATGTAAGTTATTTTATGTTAATTTATATATTTAATTATATGTAATAAGCTTTATTTATTATTTTTCTTATAAAGCCTGATTATTCAAAGCTCATAAAGTAAGACTGCGTAAATAAAGCTCACTGTATTAGTTTTGTTAATGTCTTATAAGAGTAAAAAAAAAGCAATTTATCCAATTGACTATATTAATGAAAATTCTAAATCGAAATTGATTACGATGATAGACCATATTTGATTTAATACAACTATACTTGTCTGTTTATTCAACTTATGGATAATGTTTCTAAAATAAATTTATCCAAATTAATTATAATTTGCTTTTCTTAGTCATCAACACAATTTTAGCTATGTACAGGTCTCGATTTTACTTACCGTGGTTCGGCTTGACTCAAATGGAGTTAACCAACATAGTTACTGCACTTCACCTCGAATCAGCTTGAAAACCAATTTCATGACAAATAATTATCAATGGAAAAATCTATTCTAAGTGACTTCCAATCAGTCACATTATCTCTTTGGACAATGATTCTTAGATTTTCTATTAAGTTGCTGATTAACATCACTATTTATCAGAAGTCTAATTATACTTAATCGTTACGAAAATTCTGGTATTCTAGTATTTTTTAACTGATAGAAATCATAATTAAAAATAATTATGTCAAAAACTTACAGTCGATTTTAATTATTTCCTAGTTTACGGCGAGGAAGGTACAGTTTTGAAAACTTTTGTCTGCTTTCCACATCAGAAATTTCTATTAAAGTATTACCTTAAAAATAAATATTGATACTGTATATTTTATGTTGTTAGTATAATTATCAACAGTCAGTTTTTAATATACTAGGATTTCGCGCGACTTTGCCGTATCGCGATAGAATTGAAGCGAGCCGGAAGGAAAGAAGCGATCCTGCACCTATTAGGCACAGAAGAGGTGATTCTTGCACAGTACCTGACGGACGTGAACAGGTGAACTCTGCGCTTGTCTTCACAAAAAAGGCTATCTTCGTAGCTGTAGGCCACGGAAGACACGATTCTTTCACCAGAATTTTAAATGTTGCCGAGAAATTTAAGTAATATTTTGCTGGATTTTTTTATATTTAAATGGACTCACATTGCATTTGTGGATTTCTCTTCTCATATAATGGAAAATGGCAAAATTTAATCAAAATTAATCGAACAGATTTTGAGAAACAGCACAATTCTGTAAGCCTCATAGAAGAAGCTTCGCTAACACTACGCTTCAATTAATAAAAATTAATATTTTTAATTAACCTGTATGTTGATGAAAAAATGGACATACGTAATTTTGAAAATAGATGAAGAATATATTTATAAGCAGATAGTATTGCTTTCGAATTTGCAGTAAAACAGAAAATTGTTGATTGTATCATTCTGTCATCAACTTCATGCCACTACTTCGTTTTTACATTTTTGGCGTAATTTTCGATTTTTATTTGGCTATGCTTGGCAACTCAAAATAATTCCAGCAATGAGTTGCGTAACTTTCCCGGCAAGTGTTAAAAATTGGGTGCGGAGCCAACTGTTATAATATATTTTTAATTGTTCTTATATTATTAATTTGTTATAAAATGGCAAAAGAAAACTTAATTTTAAAGGTGGAGATGAGTTTCATAAAAACTGTAAATACTAATAACGAGTAAAATCATCATTAATCTATCCCCACTCGAGATATGACATAAAACCTGACCTTTAGACAATAAAATTTAATAGCATCAATTCCCTTAATACACAAACCTTTTTTCAAAATTTAAGAAATTTTTTACAAAAGGCAGAGGAGTTAGTAAGCTTAAAAGTAGGTAAACAAAATTTTGCCCCTATACTAACATTCATGTATATAGAAACAAAAAAAAAATTATTTGCATTTCTCGATGTTTCAAGGTCCCCTGAGTCCAAAAATATAAAAATCTTGGGAAAGGTCATTTTTTGACCGCTCGACATACTTTTCCTCAATTATATATAACAGCCGGAAGAGTTTTTAAAAAAAAGGCCATGAAGAAGGTGAACAGGAAGAAAATGCAGTAAATGATGTTAATGTATATGATAATACGTAACATCCTCATAATTGTGAAGGAAAATAAATCACTATATTTTCATAAAGAGAACATTTTATTTTAAATTTAAAATATTCTATTTAAAATAGAATAGTCAATAAAAATTTAAGTTTGTTCATATATGTATTATATTATTGAAATTGTTACTTTTATTATAAATATAGTACTGTATATATGTAAATAAATTGCATTTATAATAGAAATAACAAGCATATTTTTATAAGAATTTAAATAATTTGAATTTTATTGAAATATAATACTGTTAAATACTTTAAGTTTAAAATAATATTAAATCATGCAAATTAAAAATTAAATATTATAAAATTGCATTTAATTAAGCAATGTTTTCAATATAAATTATTTTTTTAAAATCTAAAATGCGACTTAATTTTGATATTTATTTTAAGTTTTATTTTAATGTTTTACAAATTCAAACCATCTTCACTTATTTTAATTTCATTTTTTGTATTATGTTTTTTTTATTGTAATTTTATATTTTAAACTAATTACCCCCTAAACTTTATACGTCTTTTCTCAATTCAAACTTTTAAACCTTTTTTTTTTGTATATTTAATATTTATTATATTTTCGTTAGGATATTAATTTAAAAATGTTATATTCTATCGGTTAAGATGAATGGAAGAATCAAATTCATAATTACAAATTTAAAATATTAATGTTCGTATGTTTATTTCATTAAAAAGTGTTTAAAAAATTGTCTGTGATGGTGCATTTTATACGTAAGGCAGTATTTGTTTATGTATTTACAATGATTATAGAATGCTAATTTTTAAAATTTCAGGAAATAATCATTTAGAAGTGTTTCAAAAATAATTTTATTTGAATATTTTTGAAGTTTCTTATTGTAATAAAGATCGGAATAATAATAATAATAATAACTAATGTAAATTTTATTAGTATTACATGCATTAGACAGTAGCATGTCGATTCCATTGAAAAATTTCTAATAAACACAATATGCAATTACAAAAATATACATCAATATATCAGTAATAGAAACATATTAACATTATATCTGAATATTTTTAATCTTCTGATGTAAATTACGAAAATGTTTTTTTGATAAATGATAATTAACAATGTTAAAACTTCTTTTTTAAAGAAACATTGGAATAAGTTTCTCTGGCAGTACTGGACTTCCTGGATTTCTCTCCCGCTTCATCTTCTTCATCATCGTAAAAGTTTTTGATTTTTCTACTATGATAAGCAATAAAAAAATCGCAGATTGTTCCTATTAATAGTAGTCCACCCGTTGAACCATGTAAATAATATCTGAATTTATTAGAATCGTATATCCAACAGTTTCCTGTTTTTCCGCATTTTTCTTCCCAGACCATGCATGCAGAATCAGTGATAGCACCGTATATTATTGGATTAGGTATAAATACTATCAAAATATATAAAAAAAACTATAATTAATATGATAATATTGTAGTAAAATAAGTGTAATAAATTTAATTAAAAGCAAAGCTATAAATATTTTTAAAGTTCTTATGTAAAAATGTAAAAAAAAGAATTGAAATGGATCAATCGATAATTATTATTTTTATATGTATATATTATATAATTAAATATATTTAATCTTTGCATATTTTAAAATAAATCAACTAATAATTTATATCGCTTACCAAAGATACTCAATATAGCTTCACCGAGTCCAAGAGCCAAACTTTTATCTTTAGGATCTATAGCACTAAGGTGGCAAAAATCATGAATTATGTATGTATTTTTTAAATATTATAGTAATATTTAAATAAAAATATACCGGAAAAGTAATAAAGAGAAGCCAACTGAATTAACTGATGAAATGACACAGAGAAAAGCGAACGTTACAATATATGATATAATCTTTTGACAATTCTGTTTACAATATTCTGAAGTTGCAGTCGATATAATGAAATTTTGCTTCTCGTCGTGTACACACTGACAATTACTATAAAGCTAGGAATAAAAAACAATTTATAATTTTAATGCTATTAAAATAATAAAGTACGTATCATTTGAAAATATTCTTACGGTGTCATTAGATTCCGAACAACCGGCAAAACAGGGAGAGAAATATGATGATTGACTATCTGTACCACATACGGGTTGAAATGTTGCCAGTGTACAATCACAGTTTGAATTGCAACTGTTTTCAAGAATTAATCTATTAAAATATTAAAAAAGTACATTTGAAAATAATAATTATGTTAAAAAATTTACAATTTTTAATTAATGTTGACTTACTCTCCGTTTCGATTTTCTGTTCCCAACATTAATATCTGAGGACAACCCATCATCATAAAAGAAAATATGAGAAGTGCAGAAATTATATCATTAATCATTACAGAAAATGCTATATAATGCGGTTTTGGTTTAAATTTTCGAATAATTATGCCACCAGAAATCAAACCAACTTGAATGCTGATCAATGCAACTGGACCTGAAAAATCAATTTAATTATCAGGAAAAATAAATTGGCATTTATATTATTATGTCAATGATAAACATGCCAGTTAATAAATTTGCATCTGCAGCCGACTGTCCAAATTGTGATTCAAAATATTTAGGAAGGAATATATAATGTCCAAGCCATCCATTTCCAATAATGATATCACTCATCATATACCAAAATATAACCGGATTACGAAGTATACGTAACGATGAAATTAAAATATCTGTGAAAACATATAATTCAATTCAAAATTATTATATCTAATTTTATTTTAATTTAGTTATACTTACCTTTAATGTTTAATACATTTGTTTGATTTTCTGAATTTTCTTTTCCTTCTTCAATTCTTTTGGTTTGTGCTTTAGTCAAAGCAGCTGGAAAGAAGAACATGGGTATAGTTGTTATTATCATGGCAATTCCCAAGATAAGAAATCCTAGCCACCATGCTCCAATCCATCTCGGATCTTCTTTTGGGAAACTTGGAGTATCTGTTAATTTAAATGTAATGAGATAGTAGCTAATAATTTCTCGAAATAACAGAAATGTATACATACACGCAGGATATTCGTAGTATCGTAGACATACCGCAGATAATACAAATCCAAATGTTGGACCTAGAAGTCTCAACGCATAACATATACCTAGAAAAATAATTTAGATTATTATTATTTTTTACTTCTTCCGCTTAGTGGACACTAGGAAAGTCGTTATTCCACCCATTATGGGTTCGACAGGCCCATAATGGGGGACGTGGTACGAATTATCCGAGACAGACTGCCCATGAAATATCTCTACGTGTTCAAATAGCATGGATTCTATCCCAGATTTCAGAGGCCTCAGCAGCCTCGACAACCTGGTCATTTATATTAATAATAATAATCACTAAACGATTAATACAACTGCATTATGAGTATTATAAAATTAACATAAAATTTAATTATTCAATACTAATGATTAAGTATACTAGAAAATATTATATTTGATTGAAAATTTAATTATATTTTAAAACTTTACCAAGATACAAAGCAGATTGTTTTTTCTTGATATTATCATCCATGTAGGGTATACCAATCGTATAATATGCTGTGCTTCCAAATCCTTTCAATAGGCTAGCTAAAGCAAAACAGGTAAGAGCTGGGATAGTAATCGATTTATCATCGTCACAGTATTTTTCTTTTGATCTTGTTTCGCATAATTCATTTTCTTTTTCAAGACTGGTTGTGTTGGAGAACAGATCAAAAGCTGGTCCATAAATAAAATAAGGTAAACAAGATAAAAAACAACTTATAACCACAATCAGCATTCCCAGGCCGATCCATTTTGGTCTGTTGATATTCCTACCGTAGTAACCAATGATAATACTGGTTAAAATAGGAGTGACATTATCCATTGTGAGTATCAATCCGGTAGCTTTACTGTTGAACGAATATCTTTTCTCGATAGTTGATATCACACCAATTAAATAAGCATAATATGCACCTTGTACAATACCCAAAAGAGAAAACGAAATCAAAAAAGCACTGGGTTTAGCAAAATGTTGAAGCCATTTAGGTCTCCATTTTCCGAATCCACATTGCAGATTACTTTTATCTTCATCCATGTTACAATCTCATAGAAGTTGACGATCTTACTACGCATTCAAAGAGTCAAACGACTTCAGTTACGATTCTAAACAACAAAGACCTTGGTCGCCAATCGTCGCACAGTTCACTAAATTAAATAATAATCTTTAATGAATCTAAATACGTCAAATTTTTCAATGTAGTGAAGACTTTTATCGCCAGAAAAAATAGTATTTTAATAAGGATGTGAATGATAATTGTAAGAGATCAGTTAATTTATTTATATTTTAAAACAATTCAATATTTCTCTTGAATTAGCGTAGATTAACTTCTTTCAGCAAACAATTTAATTATTATTGATATTATGAAAGATGCCTAGAACAGTCAAACCTTTATATATACTACACTTTCTTTATTAGCATAAATTAAAATGATACAATAGAAAAATTTATATCATATATCATATACAGTATATGCAATCAAGATAAAACTTCTATTATTTAGAACAGTGATTCTCAAACTTTTTCGATCCACCGCCCCCTTTGTTCCTTAAAGTTATACCCAACGCCCCCTAACCCATTTTCTCTTGTGTGAGAAAAGGATTGGAAATATTCTTAGGAAAACTTTTCTATGAATCTCACACTTTGTGTCCTCACTGTACATTGTTCTCATCATCTGGAAACCATTAAACGCAATGTTTCCTCTTATCAGCCCCAATTTTGCCTTTGGTCACCGTTCAATACCCTGACTCTATCATAGATCTATTCATCGCGCCAGAAGGGGGCGTTATTGCTTACTTTGAGAAACGCTGAGCTAAAATAAAAGTCAATGTGTTAGAAATATNATTTTAAATGTTGCCGAGAAATTTAAGTAATACTTTGCTGGATTTTTTTTATATTTAAATGGACTCACATTGCATTTGTGGATTTCTCTTCTCATATAATGGAAAATGGCAAAATTTAATCAAAATTAATCGAACAGATTTTGAGAAACAGCACAATTCTGTAAGCCTCATAGAAGAAGCTTCGCTAACACTACGCTTCAATTAATAAAAATTAATATTTTTAATTAACCTGTATGTTGATGAAAAAATGGACATACGTAATTTTGAAAATAGATGAAGAATATATTTATAAGCAGATAGTATTGCTTTCGAATTTGCAGTAAAACAGAAAATTGTTGATTGTATCATTCTGTCATCAACTTCATGCCACTACTTCGTTTTTACATTTTTGGCGTAATTTTCGATTTTTATTTGGCTATGCTTGGCAACTCAAAATAATTCCAGCAATGAGTTGCGTAACTTTCCCGGCAAGTGTTAAAAATTGGGTGCGGAGCCAACTGTTATAATATATTTTTAATTGTTCTTATATTATTAATTGTTATAAAATGGCAAAAGAAAACTTAATTTTAAAGGTGGAGATGAGTTTCATAAAAACTGTAAATACTAATAACGAGTAAAATCATCATTAATCTATCCCCACTCGAGATATGACATAAAACCTGACCTTTAGACAATAAAATTTAATAGCATCAATTCCCTTAATACACAAACCTTTTTTCAAAATTTAAGAAATTTTTTACAAAAGGCAGAGGAGTTAGTAAGCTTAAAAGTAGGTAAACAAAATTTTGCCCCTATACTAACATTCATGTATATAGAAACAAAAAAAAAATTATTTGCATTTCTCGATGTTTCAAGGTCCCCTGAGTCCAAAAATATAAAAATCTTGGGAAAGGTCATTTTTTGACCGCTCGACATACTTTTCCTCAATTATATATAACAGCCGGAAGAGTTTTTAAAAAAAAGGCCATGAAGAAGGTGAACAGGAAGAAAATGCAGTAAATGATGTTAATGTATATGATAATACGTAACATCCTCATAATTGTGAAGGAAAATAAATCACTATATTTTCATAAAGAGAACATTTTATTTTAAATTTAAAATATTCTATTTAAAATAGAATAGTCAATAAAAATTTAAGTTTGTTCATATATGTATTATATTATTGAAATTGTTACTTTTATTATAAATATAGTACTGTATATATGTAAATAAATTGCATTTATAATAGAAATAACAAGCATATTTTTATAAGAATTTAAATAATTTGAATTTTATTGAAATATAATACTGTTAAATACTTTAAGTTTAAAATAATATTAAATCATGCAAATTAAAAATTAAATATTATAAAATTGCATTTAATTAAGCAATGTTTTCAATATAAATTATTTTTTTAAAATCTAAAATGCGACTTAATTTTGATATTTATTTTAAGTTTTATTTTAATGTTTTACAAATTCAAACCATCTTCACTTATTTTTTATAATTTCATTTTTTGTATTATGTTTTTTTTATTGTAATTTTATATTTTAAACTAATTACCCCCTAAACTTTATACGTCTTTTCTCAATTCAAACTTTTAAACCTTTTTTTTGTATATTTAATATTTATTATATTTTCGTTAGGATATTAATTTAAAAATGTTATATTCTATCGGTTAAGATGAATGGAAGAATCAAATTCATAATTACAAATTTAAAATATTAATGTTCGTATGTTTATTTCATTAAAAAGTGTTTAAAAAATTGTCTGTGATGGTGCATTTTATACGTAAGGCAGTATTTGTTTATGTATTTACAATGATTATAGAATGCTAATTTTTAAAATTTCAGGAAATAATCATTTAGAAGTGTTTCAAAAATAATTTTATTTGAATATTTTTGAAGTTTCTTATTGTAATAAAGATCGGAATAATAATAATAATAATAACTAATGTAAATTTTATTAGTATTACATGCATTAGACAGTAGCATGTCGATTCCATTGAAAAATTTCTAATAAACACAATATGCAATTACAAAAATATACATCAATATATCAGTAATAGAAACATATTAACATTATATCTGAATATTTTTAATCTTCTGATGTAAATTACGAAAATGTTTTTTTGATAAATGATAATTAACAATGTTAAAACTTCTTTTTTAAAGAAACATTGGAATAAGTTTCTCTGGCAGTACTGGACTTCCTGGATTTCTCTCCCGCTTCATCTTCTTCATCATCGTAAAAGTTTTTGATTTTTCTACTATGATAAGCAATAAAAAAATCGCAGATTGTTCCTATTAATAGTAGTCCACCCGTTGAACCATGTAAATAATATCTGAATTTATTAGAATCGTATATCCAACAGTTTCCTGTTTTTCCGCATTTTTCTTCCCAGACCATGCATGCAGAATCAGTGATAGCACCGTATATTATTGGATTAGGTATAAATACTATCAAAATATATAAAAAAAACTATAATTAATATGATAATATTGTAGTAAAATAAGTGTAATAAATTTAATTAAAAGCAAAGCTATAAATATTTTTAAAGTTCTTATGTAAAAATGTAAAAAAAAGAATTGAAATGGATCAATCGATAATTATTATTTTTATATGTATATATTATATAATTAAATATATTTAATCTTTGCATATTTTAAAATAAATCAACTAATAATTTATATCGCTTACCAAAGATACTCAATATAGCTTCACCGAGTCCAAGAGCCAAACTTTTATCTTTAGGATCTATAGCACTAAGGTGGCAAAAATCATGAATTATGTATGTATTTTTTAAATATTATAGTAATATTTAAATAAAAATATACCGGAAAAGTAATAAAGAGAAGCCAACTGAATTAACTGATGAAATGACACAGAGAAAAGCGAACGTTACAATATATGATATAATCTTTTGACAATTCTGTTTACAATATTCTGAAGTTGCAGTCGATATAATGAAATTTTGCTTCTCGTCGTGTACACACTGACAATTACTATAAAGCTAGGAATAAAAAACAATTTATAATTTTAATGCTATTAAAATAATAAAGTACGTATCATTTGAAAATATTCTTACGGTGTCATTAGATTCCGAACAACCGGCAAAACAGGGAGAGAAATATGATGATTGACTATCTGTACCACATACGGGTTGAAATGTTGCCAGTGTACAATCACAGTTTGAATTGCAACTGTTTTCAAGAATTAATCTATTAAAATATTAAAAAAGTACATTTGAAAATAATAATTATGTTAAAAAATTTACAATTTTTAATTAATGTTGACTTACTCTCCGTTTCGATTTTCTGTTCCCAACATTAATATCTGAGGACAACCCATCATCATAAAAGAAAATATGAGAAGTGCAGAAATTATATCATTAATCATTACAGAAAATGCTATATAATGCGGTTTTGGTTTAAATTTTCGAATAATTATGCCACCAGAAATCAAACCAACTTGAATGCTGATCAATGCAACTGGACCTGAAAAATCAATTTAATTATCAGGAAAAATAAATTGGCATTTATATTATTATGTCAATGATAAACATGCCAGTTAATAAATTTGCATCTGCAGCCGACTGTCCAAATTGTGATTCAAAATATTTAGGAAGGAATATATAATGTCCAAGCCATCCATTTCCAATAATGATATCACTCATCATATACCAAAATATAACCGGATTACGAAGTATACGTAACGATGAAATTAAAATATCTGTGAAAACATATAATTCAATTCAAAATTATTATATCTAATTTTATTTTAATTTAGTTATACTTACCTTTAATGTTTAATACATTTGTTTGATTTTCTGAATTTTCTTTTCCTTCTTCAATTCTTTTGGTTTGTGCTTTAGTCAAAGCAGCTGGAAAGAAGAACATGGGTATAGTTGTTATTATCATGGCAATTCCCAAGATAAGAAATCCTAGCCACCATGCTCCAATCCATCTCGGATCTTCTTTTGGGAAACTTGGAGTATCTGTTAATTTAAATGTAATGAGATAGTAGCTAATAATTTCTCGAAATAACAGAAATGTATACATACACGCAGGATATTCGTAGTATCGTAGACATACCGCAGATAATACAAATCCAAATGTTGGACCTAGAAGTCTCAACGCATAACATATACCTAGAAAAATAATTTAGATTATTATTATTTTTTACTTCTTCCGCTTAGTGGACACTAGGAAAGTCGTTATTCCACCCATTATGGGTTCGACAGGCCCATAATGGGGGACGTGGTACGAATTATCCGAGACAGACTGCCCATGAAATATCTCTACGTGTTCAAATAGCATGGATTCTATCCCAGATTTCAGAGGCCTCAGCAGCCTCGACAACCTGGTCATTTATATTAATAATAATAATCACTAAACGATTAATACAACTGCATTATGAGTATTATAAAATTAACATAAAATTTAATTATTCAATACTAATGATTAAGTATACTAGAAAATATTATATTTGATTGAAAATTTAATTATATTTTAAAACTTTACCAAGATACAAAGCAGATTGTTTTTTCTTGATATTATCATCCATGTAGGGTATACCAATCGTATAATATGCTGTGCTTCCAAATCCTTTCAATAGGCTAGCTAAAGCAAAACAGGTAAGAGCTGGGATAGTAATCGATTTATCATCGTCACAGTATTTTTCTTTTGATCTTGTTTCGCATAATTCATTTTCTTTTTCAAGACTGGTTGTGTTGGAGAACAGATCAAAAGCTGGTCCATAAATAAAATAAGGTAAACAAGATAAAAAACAACTTATAACCACAATCAGCATTCCCAGGCCGATCCATTTTGGTCTGTTGATATTCCTACCGTAGTAACCAATGATAATACTGGTTAAAATAGGAGTGACATTATCCATTGTGAGTATCAATCCGGTAGCTTTACTGTTGAACGAATATCTTTTCTCGATAGTTGATATCACACCAATTAAATAAGCATAATATGCACCTTGTACAATACCCAAAAGAGAAAACGAAATCAAAAAAGCACTGGGTTTAGCAAAATGTTGAAGCCATTTAGGTCTCCATTTTCCGAATCCACATTGCAGATTACTTTTATCTTCATCCATGTTACAATCTCATAGAAGTTGACGATCTTACTACGCATTCAAAGAGTCAAACGACTTCAGTTACGATTCTAAACAACAAAAACTATTATAGGAATATTTAAATAAAAATATACCGGAAAAGTAATAAAGAGAAGCCAACTGAATTAACTGATGAAATGACACAGAGAAAAGCGAACGTTACAATATATGATATAATCTTTTGACAATTCTGTTTACAATATTCTGAAGTTGCAGTCGATATAATGAAATTTTGCTTCTCGTCGTGTACACACTGACAATTACTATAAAGCTAGGAATAAAAAACAATTTATAATTTTAATGCTATTAAAATAATAAAGTACGTATCATTTGAAAATATTCTTACGGTGTCATTAGATTCCGAACAACCGGCAAAACAGGGAGAGAAATATGATGATTGACTATCTGTACCACATACGGGTTGAAATGTTGCCAGTGTACAATCACAGTTTGAATTGCAACTGTTTTCAAGAATTAATCTATTAAAATATTAAAAAAGTACATTTGAAAATAATAATTATGTTAAAAAATTTACAATTTTTAATTAATGTTGACTTACTCTCCGTTTCGATTTTCTGTTCCCAACATTAATATCTGAGGACAACCCATCATCATAAAAGAAAATATGAGAAGTGCAGAAATTATATCATTAATCATTACAGAAAATGCTATATAATGCGGTTTTGGTTTAAATTTTCGAATAATTATGCCACCAGAAATCAAACCAACTTGAATGCTGATCAATGCAACTGGACCTGAAAAATCAATTTAATTATCAGGAAAAATAAATTGGCATTTATATTATTATGTCAATGATAAACATGCCAGTTAATAAATTTGCATCTGCAGCCGACTGTCCAAATTGTGATTCAAAATATTTAGGAAGGAATATATAATGTCCAAGCCATCCATTTCCAATAATGATATCACTCATCATATACCAAAATATAACCGGATTACGAAGTATACGTAACGATGAAATTAAAATATCTGTGAAAACATATAATTCAATTCAAAATTATTATATCTAATTTTATTTTAATTTAGTTATACTTACCTTTAATGTTTAATACATTTGTTTGATTTTCTGAATTTTCTTTTCCTTCTTCAATTCTTTTGGTTTGTGCTTTAGTCAAAGCAGCTGGAAAGAAGAACATGGGTATAGTTGTTATTATCATGGCAATTCCCAAGATAAGAAATCCTAGCCACCATGCTCCAATCCATCTCGGATCTTCTTTTGGGAAACTTGGAGTATCTGTTAATTTAAATGTAATGAGATAGTAGCTAATAATTTCTCGAAATAACAGAAATGTATACATACACGCAGGATATTCGTAGTATCGTAGACATACCGCAGATAATACAAATCCAAATGTTGGACCTAGAAGTCTCAACGCATAACATATACCTAGAAAAATAATTTAGATTATTATTTTTTTTTACTTCTTCCGCTTAGTGGACACTAGGAAAGTCGTTATTCCACCCATTATGGGTTCGACAGGGCCCACAATGGGGCTGTCGTGGTCACTAAGGGGGGTCTCTTTTTGCAAGCCCATTATGGGTTCGACAGGGCCCACAATGGGGCTGTCGTGGTCACTAAGGGGGGTCTCTTTTTGCAAGCCCATTATGGGTTCGACAGGCCCATAATGGGGGACGTGGTACGAATTATCCGAGACAGACTGCCCATGAAATATCTCTACGTGTTCAAATAGCATGGATTCTATCCCAGATTTCAGAGGCCTCAGCAGCCTCGACAACCTGGTCATTTATATTAATAATAATAATCACTAAACGATTAATACAACTGCATTATGAGTATTATAAAATTAACATAAAATTTAATTATTCAATACTAATGATTAAGTATACTAGAAAATATTATATTTGATTGAAAATTTAATTATATTTTAAAACTTTACCAAGATACAAAGCAGATTGTTTTTTCTTGATATTATCATCCATGTAGGGTATACCAATCGTATAATATGCTGTGCTTCCAAATCCTTTCAATAGGCTAGCTAAAGCAAAACAGGTAAGAGCTGGGATAGTAATCGATTTATCATCGTCACAGTATTTTTCTTTTGATCTTGTTTCGCATAATTCATTTTCTTTTTCAAGACTGGTTGTGTTGGAGAACAGATCAAAAGCTGGTCCATAAATAAAATAAGGTAAACAAGATAAAAAACAACTTATAACCACAATCAGCATTCCCAGGCCGATCCATTTTGGTCTGTTGATATTCCTACCGTAGTAACCAATGATAATACTGGTTAAAATAGGAGTGACATTATCCATTGTGAGTATCAATCCGGTAGCTTTACTGTTGAACGAATATCTTTTCTCGATAGTTGATATCACACCAATTAAATAAGCATAATATGCACCTTGTACAATACCCAAAAGAGAAAACGAAATCAAAAAAGCACTAGGTTTAGCAAAATGTTGAAGCCATTTAGGTCTCCATTTTCCGAATCCACATTGCAGATTACTTTTATCTTCATCCATGTTACAATCTCATAGAAGTTGACGATCTTACTACGCATTCAAAGAGTCAAACGACTTCAGTTACGATTCTAAACAACAAAGACCTTGGTCGCCAATCGTCGCACAGTTCACTAAATTAAATAATAATCTTTAATGAATCTAAATACGTCAAATTTTTCAATGTAGTGAAGACTTTTATCGCCAGAAAAAATAGTATTTTAATAAGGATGTGAATGATAATTGTAAGAGATCAGTTAATTTATTTATATTTTAAAACAATTCAATATTTCTCTTGAATTAGCGTAGATTAACTTCTTTCAGCAAACAATTTAATTATTATTGATATTATGAAAGATGCCTAGAACAGTCAAACCTTTATATATACTACACTTTCTTTATTAGCATAAATTAAAATGATACAATAGAAAAATTTATATCATATATCATATACAGTATATGCAATCAAGATAAAACTTCTATTATTTAGAACAGTGATTCTCAAACTTTTTCGATCCACCGCCCCCTTTGTTCCTTAAAGTTATACCCAACGCCCCCTAACCCATTTTCTCTTGTGTGAGAAAAGGATTGGAAATATTCTTAGGAAAACTTTTCTATGAATCTCACACTTTGTGCCCTTACTGTACATTGTTCTCATCATCTGGAAACCATTAAACGCAATGTTTCCTCTTATCAGCCCCAATTTTGCCTTTGGTCACCGTTCAATACCCTGCCTCTATCATAGATCTATTCATCGCGCCAGAAGGGGGC